ATTATTGTTTTATCAATATTTGCAAATATTCTAAATTTAGACTGCAAAGCATTTTGTGTTCATTGACAGAATTTTATTTTCGATGCGCTATAGAATTTCTGCATCCAATGTAAACAATAAAAAGGTGTTTTAATGCGACGTCAATAATCTTGAATGCGTCAATGTTGGTGATGTAGTTCACTCTATATACAGGAAACGAGTGCTCATACATTATGGAATGAATGCTGATTCAACTTTTCATGGAACAGCAATTATAATGTTTTCAGTGATAGCTGTATAATAAATACATATATCAGTGATCATAACAGTTGAACATTTTTTTAACAAGTGCAGTAGGTAACATAAAAATGTATGGAAAGTAGACTAACATAATAAGATTGTTCCTGTAGAACTACAGTGTGTGAGTGTTCCATACATGATAATGTGATTTAACAGATTATACACCAAATATAGAAATTTTAGACCAATCAGAACTCACCAGGCATTTCTGGAGGGAATTTCTTCATCATGGGCGTGACTTCCATAACCTCATCTTCGATTGGTGGCTGTGGCATTTCTTTCTTTGGCATCATGGTAGGTAATGGCATGTCTTTCTTTGGCATCATAGTTGGTAATGATTCCATGTCTTTCTTTGGCTGCTCTATAAATGGAGGCATAGGTTTTTTACCTTTGGGTCTTTTCTTTGCACCCATGTGTTGTTCAACTCTAGGGGGCGGTGTACTGTTGTCATCCACACTAAACTGCAAATTATAATCTACAATGAAATAAAAATATTAAATAATGACAACTTTTATTAAATATTAGTGTAGATGAAATAGCTGTTTGAGCTGCTATGAATCATGGGTCTTTTAATCTTTTCACCACCAGTTCCCTCTTTTCTGCACAAATTAACAAAATAGTCCTGTTTATAGTTTGCCCTGTCCTTCAAAAGATTGGGTCAAAAATAGCCGAATTTTTTGAGTAAAAACTGAAAATTATCTCAAGTTTTATCTGTTGGCTCCAAAATTAGGACTCATTACTAAAAATATTGAAGAATATAAGAAAACAAGTCATGCATGGCACAGTCCCCGTTATCAAATTTAAGATATATAGTTTTGTTTATAGTAATATAGCTGGAATATAACCATGTCAGGAATATGATTTTTTAACATTAAAATGATTGACATTTGTATCTGATCGTCAAACAAGTACTTGTCCATATTGAGAGATATTGCTCTGGAACAGCATTCAAAATCAGCCATTTTGAATACATGTATATATATATATATATATGTATATATATAACATGATGTATAACGAATATATAAAATTTGAATATAATCAGTCAAAGCATTTAAGAGATATGGCTCTCGAAGCCCAATCATTAAAACAAAATGGCCGCCAGTCAGCTATTTTGAATCCAATCTGAAAAATAAAATGACGTGCATCAGGAACCTGTAATGTCTAATGTATGTTATACGTTTGAACAAAATCCATCCATAAATGCAAGAAATGCTTGATATTTGAGGATTTTTTTAGCACAAAAATAGCCACCATTTGGCCACTTTGAAAAGGATCGTCAAACCAATATATTCGTATATCTATGACATGATGTATAATGAATATTTAAAATTTGAACATAATCGGTCAAAACAAGTCGGAGATATGGCTCTAGAAGCCCATTCATTAAAACAAAATGGCCGCCAGACAGCCATTTTGAATCTGATCTGAAAAATAAATGATGTGCATCAGAAACCTGTAATGTCTAATATATGTACCAAGTTTGAACGAAATCCATCCATAAATGCCAGAAATGCTTGATATTTGATGATTTTTTAGCACAAAAATGGCCACCATTCGGCCATTTTGAATAGGATCGTCAAACCAATATATCTGTCTATCTATGACATGATGTATAATGAATATTTAAAATTTGAACATAATCAGTGGAAGCAAGTCGGAGATATGGCTCTAGAAGCCCATTCATTAAAACAAAATGGCCGCCAG